AGCCTCCGCGTAATAATTCTGATTCGTAAACAGCAGGTGATATCGTGACTTCGATTGATGCGATCGCGATTGGAGAGAATAGCGCATCCGGTAGTGATATCCTTCGAGCGTTTACGCGCCTTGTTTATGTGCAGTGCGCATTGCGGATAATACACGCGATTCGTGAATTCAGTTGAAGGTACCGCGGCTCTGTAACGTGTCGCGCACCAACACTTATCTCTCTTATCAGTGAGAGAAATGTATTTTATCAGTGCGCGATAGCGAGGGCCCGATATTGCGAATTTCTATCTTGGCGAATCGATAAGCGTGCGAGTGTTACAGCTAATTTCGTAGGTGAGGTGCGTCTTAGGCTTGTCTCCCTGTACAGAAATAGCCTCCATTCACCGATATGCGCGACACACGCCATTTTCGTCGGACATTACGCGTTCTGTTTCGTCTACGATGAATGGGAGTGTTTGTTGATGACTTGTTGGCAAGTGACGGGATTGTTTTTCAACGCTTGCAGTGAAACGACCGCAATGAAACTATGAGACGAAGTACGCGGCACGTCTAGTTCGACGGTTCCAACGATAAATTGTCAGGAAATTTATCGGTCAGCCGATAAATTATTCAGGAAGTCGCAGATAAGGTAAGTCCTCTTTGAAAGGCGAGATTTTTTTTGTCCGGCCGACTGTCGGGGTAAGCACTGGATTGAGTGTCATCACGAACGTAAAGTCCTACACGTAACAAATTTATGGGCTGTTGCAACGCAATCTCGTAAATATGAGCGCCGCTTCTGTCGCGTGACGTGTGTGTTGTACGTTTAACATAACGCTACAAACTACGAGAATTACGTTTTGCTGCAAATGACGCAGAAGTTAACTATATCAAGAAGTTACTGACGAGACAGATTTTTCCCGGTTAATTAACGTCGACTTACTTATTAGTATGATTTACTTTGTTATAATGAATAACATCGACTCGATATTTTTAGACATTCAACGAAAATTTCCTATTTAATAATCAAGTTTTTCACGAGAAATTAATAGAAAATGACGAATTTTTTTACTAACCTAATATTATAATCACACAATTGGCCATGATTATGCAAACATGATCCAATCCCTATGTACGTTTTGAGAAAAATGAAGATGAAAATTTGATACATGATTTAAAAAGCACTGACATAGTACTGAGATGCTTCGTAATCCTTCATAGAAATCAATAGTCAATTTTTTTCTCTTTAAAGGTGTTCGTTGACAAAGTATTCATTGAAAACCTTAACCCTTCAAAAATAGATAAAAAAGAAGCAATCAGTAAAACTGGCGCAATTTATGGTAGAAAATAAAAATTGCCTTTTAATTATTTTTATGCGACCATAGGTCTGAATCTTTCTCGTTTTATGTAGAGAAACGTATGGACTCTACTCATTGGTGACAAAAATCATTATTGGGTTGGATCACTTTCGCATAATTATGGACAATTGTGATGTCAATTAAAGTTGTTGTGGTTAATACGGCGATATTGTTTGGGGGAAACTCCACACAGACGTTTCCATAAGGTTAACAGGTAAGGGTGTCCTACATCAATACATTGCCATTGGAGCCTGCGTGTTTTCTCACACAGTTCTAATTACCAAAGAGAAATATAAGGAAGCAGCATCCAAAGGCACCTCAGTTGCAACGAGACACGGAACTTGGAAAGGGTGCCATCGAGCCACAGTCATGAATCGCTCGGTGATCGACCTTGGTGTTGGGAAACGCGCGCGTTCTTCCCGCGGCAACACCCGGTGCATCGCGCAGCGGTTCAGCGACGCGTCCGTGCTTCCGTCGGCGGTTCATTGCAATCGCGTGAGAAGATCTGCGGGCTGTTCCAGGACAATACAAGCGGAAAAGCGCGATTTTTTCTCGAGATCATCTCTAGCGCGCGCGTCGGGTCAAAATGGCGGAAAGCACGGATGCGCGCGCGCTGTCTCTTTCTCGCTCTTTCGCTCGCTCGCTTACTCGCGCTGCCCGTGGACCACCGTGTCGTGGTCGCAACTCAAGGTTGTTCGGTCGCGAAAATAACACCGCGGCCCGCGGAAGGCGACATGGAACCGCGTGCGGCGGGACCAACCTGTTTGCTGCGCGGCCACTTCGTGCAGTTGCAGCCTGTCGTCCTTGCCCGGGTTCACCTGGACGTCCGTCATCCTCGCCGAGCTAGGCGGTGGTCGTTGGTGTCTACCTGGGCGATCGCTCCTTTCCTCCCCTCGAGGTGCTTGCTCCGCACTCCTGCTCCGTTCGTCAAAGCACTCTTCCGCTGCGACGCCGCGCGCGCGCTGCGCCGACGACGTGAACCAGCTCGATTATATACACGCGCGCGTAAATACGTCAAGAACGAAGCTGTGCAACAACAGCGGGCCGCGACACAGGAGAACTCGAAGCGCGCGGCGCTCAAGACGCGTTTGAACTGACTGGCTGTCGGCCGCCGGCTCGCCGGGACCCAGCGCGAAGGCCCCACGCCTGCTTTGCGAAGCCTGCCGAACGCGTACGAACGAGCGCGTCTCGTCCACCCACGACGCCGCGCGCTTCATCATCAACGGGCTAGCAGGTATGCATGATGACGACGCGCGCGCGCAAGAGAGAGAAGAGAGAGATTGCGCGCGATTGAAATCCGCGCCTGTGACGAACTCTCGTGCGCGATTTATCGATCGAGCCACCGACTCTCGCGGGATGCTGAGTGCCGATATGCGCTGCGATAGCCTGAAACGCCGGCTCCTCGAGCGACTTGGCTGGCGTGTCGCTCGTTCAATTGATTAATCGGATTATTTGAAGAAATGTGTGTGTGTGGGTGTGTGAACAACCGGCCGATTGTCCAACCGCCATCACTTCGCTCCAAATCTCACGCCTGTGTATCGTTTAGATATCTAACTGCAATTAATCTTCATTAACACTTCCAACGCGGATTCACTCAAATTTTATCGTTGCTGATTTTTAAATATCTGCACGGAGAGAGAATAGCAGAGCTGTTTTTCATGTACGCTGGGGGAGAAAATATGTGAAAGATAAAAAATATTTATTTAGTGGCTAATGTAAACATGTTTATCGAAATTTAAATTCTTTTTCATAATAACAATTATTTAAATAGATGATAATGTAAATAATATTGTAACATAATATAAATAATAATATAAAATAATTATTTAAGCAGACAAAAATAATAATTATTATTTAAATATAATAAATAGTAGTTTTCTTTTATGACAATTCTAAAGTTTTAAGAAAATGATATTTTCTTATTTAAAAAATATTTTGTAGTGTAATATAAGAGTAAGCTTTCATTTCTTAATTATTTTTCTCTCAGGCTATAAATTCCTTTTACACAATTTTACTATGTTTCTTTACACATTTCTCTCCGTGTGGTTTTCGGATCAGGTATTTATCCAAATAGCCCAAAATCATCCAAAATGCGTCTAGAATGTCCTGACGCGAATGTTCTATGATGTCCTCAACACATTCAGGGCGATCTCAGAACGTTTGTGTTATTTGGATATTGCCTCTATTTCTCGAGTTATCATTTAAGTAGAGCAAGACAGTGTTGGTCAGACCAACTTTCTTGAAGTAGTCAGTATTGTCAGTGTTGTCTTATACTATAAAGTCCATATTAATCAAATTTCTCATCATAATTTGCTTGTGCAGTAAATGTCGTGACAAGCATGTAATCAATAATATTAACGGGGAATGTAGTTGATTGTAGACGGGACATTTTTGAAATAATAATCGGCGACTTTTAACCCTCTCTGATATTTCGAGAGGAACGATTTATTACAGTAACAATAAGAAGTAAATTAACACCGACCGTTTCATTCGATTTTGTACAATGCTGCTCTATTAAGATATCTTGTGTACTGTATATTTCACGTAGACGTTGTGTCGTAACAATGTGTGAAACCGAATCAAATAACGACATAGCATGCACCCGTGATATGAAATGTCAGGTCGTCGTACTTTCCTCCTTTTTCTTTTTGCACTCGATATTCGTAGATTTTTCTTTTTTCCTGCTGCGCTTTCCGCGTCAAATGTCGTTGACGTCTCGACGATGTTGATTTCAAGATTGGATTGCGATTCACATGCAAATCGTGAAATGAGTCCTCGTGTAATCGTGCGATGAACGAACGGGGGGATGAGAAAGTGTGGCGAATGTGACGAATATGGCAAATGTGTGTCCTTCGTCGATGCGGAGCGTGGCGGATGGATGCCGATTGCACGGCCGATCTTGTTGTTCATTAGTTTTCAGGCCCCGCTGTCGCCCTCTCACATAGTTTACGAAGGAACGCTGCGAACAAAACAGGACTGTCAATAAATTCGTCCACGTAGAAAAGAAGAAACGCAAGCGCATCGACAAATGGCTAAGCCACGTTTTCGTAGAGAGACGGCGATCAGAAATTAGTCGGCATGAAAGTTTGCTCAGCGCTGGACGACTCAATCGTACCGCTCAAATATGGACAGCGAATATTCTCAGTCTTGTACTGTCAAGTCGGTTCTCTTCGACAGCAAAGCAATAAATACGTAACAGTGACAGACACGGACTTGTGCAGTAAGCATTAATAATTTGCGTACATAATAATTACGCAGGTTGCGACAGAATTTGAAGAACGCTTTTGTGACAGAAGAAAATAAAGTCTTAGACTCGACGGATATGTAAAAATAATAAATTATTACATGCGCTTTTTAAAATAATACATTGAATACGACATTTTTCAAATAGATCTGAAATATATATTTGAATATTTCTTACACATCTGTGTTTTAAATATTTTAAGCTACAAGAAATCTTTGTATCAGAATAAATAACGCGATACTTAATAAGCCCTACGTAATAATTTATATGATTTTTATATTTTTACGTAATAAACATAGTATAATATGATACATAAACATTATAAGTTATATTCCCGTCACTTATTTCAATAATCTCGTCGAGTCATTGACCTCGCGCGCGAGCAAACCTTCGTACGTGTTTCTGCGCGAGAAGCGAGTTATCGATTTCAGCATCCCTGTTGAACTGCAACGTTGCGTCCTATAAATGCTGAGGTGTACTCGACGAGAAAAAACGGATAAAGCGACGTTAATAGATAACAGAGCCAGAGACAAAAAGGAAGAGACAGAACGAGAAGAAGAAGAAGAGAGAAACAAAGAGGAGACAGGCTGACAGACAGACAGAAAGCGGAAAAGTTACGACGAAGCACGGAGTTGTGTACTACAGGGTGTACTTACGATGAATGATCATTTGTCTCGATAACACCTCGATCGCTTACAACAGCACCATCATCTTCTTCAAGAAGGCTGCGAAACACAAAAATGTGGAAGTGTCAAACGATGGGGAGGGAGCAAATCGAGTCCGGGCGATCTCTTCACGTTGCCGGAAGTTATCAAGGGCGGGTCGTATCAGCGGGGGCTGAGTCTTTTTTTCGACTGTACTTATTTGTACATGGGTGGACATTTCTATTTCGTGTCACCGACGAACCGGGTGACTTACAGAATAGAGATGGGGGATTTCAAACTAACGTGCTTTATATCTACGTGACTCACGGATGCGGATGATTTAACACTCTTTATCTATTCTGGGGGCAGGGTCGCATTCACGATTCTTGGGCGAAAAACAGATCGATACTTACGGGCATAGGGGATGAAACCGTCGTCGTCCTCTGGGTCCATGCAGTCCTTCAGCACAACGTCGCATTCTTGGTCCGTGAGACGTTCACCTATAATAAAGTAATTGTTATTCTAATAACTGAGGTTAACTTTAAGTTCTTACTTGATACATAACAGAGTCGGACATACGATTTTGCTGAATACCTCTCCACAAATTTCATTATAAGATCATGTTAAAAATAAAATAGTTGTGGTGTTTTGAAAATAAAATAATAGTAAAGTTGCAAATAAAATAGTTGTGTCTGATTCCTATAATATTGAAACATAATGTTTATTCGTTTTTTCGAAGAATTTCTGCATTAGTGTAATAAGTTAGAGTAAAACAAGTATATTTTCTTTCACTCTAACTTATTGCACTAGAAGTTCGAAAAAATGACCTGTTATAACTTGCTGTAATTAGCAAATTATATTATATTATTATATTATTATAATTAAAAATTATATTTACATTAGAATTATATAATATTACAGCAATAAAATTTACTATAATTAGTAATAATAACAGTAGTTATTATTACTAATTATAGCAAATTTTATTACATTTTTAGTAATACAGTTTACAAATTAGCGATTGTATGATTAAACTTCTGGAAAATGTTTATTAAATATCCTACATTGCGTTTTGCGAGAAAAAATACCATGGACAGTAATATAGTGAACGTAAAATTAACGTTTTTTATATTCGAAATAATTTGCGAATTAATCATACCAAGCGACAGAAGCGTGTGAGACAGTTCTGCGCCGAGCATGGTTCCATTCTCCTGCTTGTCATACAGTTTCAAGCACTCAAGGAAGTCCTCGTAGCATCCCTGGTCCTTGTCTTTTTTGCATTGGCTGAATATGGGCAGGAATTCGTCGATTTTCATTTTCTTCTCGCCCTTCTTCTTCGTGCCGCCCAGCTTCTCGATGGTGACATTCGTCGGGTTCAAGTTCAACGCACGAAGGACGTTGCCAAGGTCAACGGCGTCAATGACGTTGGTGCCGTCGTTGTCGTAGATGGAGAAGGCGAATTCTGCCCCTTTTTTTTTGAAAAAAAGAGAAAAAAAAGAATGGGTTTTCAGATATCTTTGTTACGACGCCAGGTATCACGGAAATACGCTGCAACGGTTGCGGATATTCTCGTAAATGTGTACGTTGATAACCAGACGATAGTCTCGCGATTCCGCAGGAATCTCGACGATATACTCGGTCCCGTCGGTCATCGGTATGCGGCCCGCACTTTAAATACGCGAGATACGAAATCTAGGTTAATACCAGTCGCAGGCACGGAGTACCGCGTGCGTACCTAGTTCAAAAATATTATTCTATTTCGGGAGACCCGGCAATCCCCCCACCAACCCGCTGTGATTGAGGAACTCGCTGGTGGAAGTAGTGGGTCAGATTACCCCCGCCGAACCATATAAGAACAGACTGCCAACCTATTTTTGACATGCTACGGAATGGTCGCATCCTCCTACCTGATGAGTCGTTATGTAATGTTAAAAATGGCACGTAATGCGCGCAAGTTCGAAAAATTCGCGGCATATTATCCATTGGATTCGACAACTAAGCGGGTGTTAGTCGACGTTTAAGAAAATCGTGCAATGAATTTGGAAACTGGTATTAATTTTAGGTATCCAAAAGAGACGAGACTTTTTTGAGCTTCTTTTCTCGCTTATTAATAGGGATTAAGTTTCCTGACTGTCGAATATTTGACACCGAGATTGAACGTTGATGCATTTTAGGAGAAAGTCTTTCAGCGTTAAAATGATTAATATTTCTTTTTCTTATCTCATTAACATTTTATCAATTAATTTAAAATTTAGATTGCTAGATGAAATAATTACAAAATGAAATAAGATAACAAGATTTAGCAAGAGTACACATTACGGGTTGATTACGTGATGCAATTTGACACGCACTTCACTGATTCCGCGACGACAGTCTTACGTATTCTCGTCCAAATCTTGTTCACTCTCTTTTGGTCGTATTTCCTTTGTCACATGTCAATAAAAAGTTATTAAAATTACACGTAAGTATCACTTATATTCTCTCACTGACTGATGTAAGTTGATAAGTTTGTTAATTGCACATTCGTCTGATTTGCTCGGCGCGTGTCGAAAATATAAGAAGGAGCTATTTAGAGACTGTGTTTTACTCACTTTCGACATCCTTGCTGCTGAGGTCTGCCTGAAATGCAAGAAGAGATTCTATTACCGCGTCGAAACGTTATAATTCGATGCCTCGAAGATTACTGCCAGTAATTCATGAGGAGACAATCTCTATTCGTGGTTCGTTAATATCACGCAGATAGAATACCGGATCTATAATTATAATACCGGTCTGAGGACGATGATATGGCGATCAGATAGCAGGATTTTGGCTTATAAAAGACATCAGAAACATTTGAAAGCTTGATAAGGTCGAATTCACGAAGAAGACTTTAGGGGAACATCTTCAGCCTCATGCAAGGTAGCGGGACTTACCATTGTCGATCGCCTGATGCCACTGGATGTTGACCGAACGGAGTTTGAGCCGGGAGTGGTACCGGGTGTTCCTAAATTTACTCATTTTATTTCTGCAGATGTCGCTGCGCTCAAGGCATAGCAGAATCACGAAGAGGAAGCCTCCGAGAGGCATGATCCGGACCGGGGCATGGCAACGCCGCGGTCCAAAAACAGTACGAGAGGCGATTGCGAGCGCCAGGCTGGTGTCCCTTCTACTACGATAAATGGGGTTCCGTCGTCGACTACGACGGGGTCTTATGTCAGGGTTGCCAGATCTGCCGCGCCCGGTGGACGCGTCAGGCAAAAATACTCTCGGTGCCGGCCTTCGACGTCGTACCAAGCTGCAGTTATCGTCCTCGCCCTCGAGTTCCCCGCCCAAGCTTATTAAAAATTCAACAAGACGACTCGAGATCATCAGCTGTTATATTTTATATAATTTTGCAGGTTTGAATAAAGCTTCAGTCGCCACCTAAGGAACCAAGTTCCATCGAGTCTGAGTCACACCTCGCGTCCAAGCAGCCGCGAAGGATGCCGAAGTCACCAAGACCGGCCGATGACTGTGCGGCTTGGCTATTTTTACTCGCTTGATGCGCGAATGAGCGACGTCTGCCCTCGCGAGAAACGGCTCCGCGTACAGAAATCTAATCGCTAGATTGAGCGAGGTGATGGTTCTTGCATCCTCGGGATCAGTTCTTCCGGCCAAAGGCGGTGCGGAAGAATCTTCTCAGCCTTCCGCCGAGGCCTTTCTTCTTCATCTTCTTCGCAGTAGCCGTCAACGTCGCTTCGCCAGATGCCTTTCGCGTCTCGACATCCTCTATGATTTCCTCCATCATCGCGACGTTGTCGCGCCGCGATTTCGACGGCGACAGCGGGCTCGAGTCGTACCTTTCGATCTGAGGGCAGCTTTCTCTCGAGGTGGACGCCACGTGCTGGCTGGAGCGAGACCTAAGTTCACCATCCGGTTCACCTTCGTGCGGCTTCAGTTCGACGTCGCGGAAGCAGCTAGCTGATTCGCTCGCTCGAAGGATATCCGTCGTCTCGAGCGGATTGTCGGGACGTTCGATGGTTCTGATCAGCTGTTCCTCTTTCTCCTCCCAAGTGACGAGATGCTCCTTGCCGACCGACGTGGAGGAAGCTATTACATTTTTGGAGCTTTCGACCGAAACCGACTTGTTCTCCAATTCCTCGATCAGCTGATGCAGCAGGCCGACAGACACGTTGGCCGCTTCTCTAATGGTTTCGTTTTCCTTCTTCTTACGGACAGTTCCCGCCGACTCCGTCTGTTCACTCGCTGACTCGAGGACCGCCGTGTGTACGACCTGGTGTGTGTCGCCTTGACCCTGACTCGCGCGCGTCTCGACAACGTCAGCTGGGCTCGCGCGCAGTGCGTCGTCGATGTTGCACGTGGGGTATTTCACCTGCTCAAACGAGGACAGGTGCATGAGCAAGAGCTCCTTGGTCGGGATAATGCGCGGGCACTAGTTACGCGTGGAATTAATGCGCTACGGGATGCGGCATTAAAGCAAACCGCGAGCACGTTGTTGCGCACGCGAGCCTCTTACAAATGCAGCTTTCGATTCAGCTAGAAGTGTCTCGAAATGAATGCGCAAATTGAAATTGACATTAACTCTAATTCCTTTCGTACTGAAGAAGAAGCCTTGCAATAGTTATCTAATGAATTTGGCTGAGCGTTTCAGTGCCATATTAAACAATTAGTATCAAATATGGTAATGATTGGTGGAAATAGTTACGAAACAATTAGTAAAGCAAATTCTTTATCTAGTCAATCAAATGACCTGGTAAGTATAAAAAAATACCAAATAATTTTGTAATAATTACTAAATAATTTGACTGTTACCAAAGTATTTGATCATTTTGTATATTTATTACATAATGTAGTAAAAGTATTACTAAACAATATGGTTTCACTTCACAAATTACTTGATGATATGTATCACATAAATTGCTCTGATAGTCACCAAGTTTTGGCACAATAGATACTAAGCCTTGCCAAAATTATTTGCTCATACTTATCAAATTATTTGATCGTCTTCGCGTTTGAAATAGTCGAAACTATTTCACCAACATCTGATAAATAATATTTAGGTTTGATGGTTATTACCAAATCTTTTTTTCGCTGTGTGACAATTCAATATCGTCATCTTTATTTTGGTACGATTATTGCATGTTCAATGGACATTATAGTTTTTATTAGTTTGGTGTAAAAGATTTGCCGTGTTTGTCAAATAAAATAGGAAGCAAAATTATATTAAGGAAAAAGTATCTAAGAAATAAAAAAAGTATATTGACTCCCTGGATACTATACAATATATAACATATTTACTTACATATAGTAACGTAAAATACTTTTCGAATAAGGAAATATGCATTTCTTAAAGTTTCTTAACATTTCATGAGAGCACTTGGCTACTGGATAAGGATTAAATGACTGTGTAACTGTCGCAACTGACTAGAATAGAATAATAAGGTCTCAGAGAGACATTTTTCTTTTCTCTGTTATACAAGCACATCCAATTACCTGTTTCCCCAGTGCTAACAATGACGGCGGTAGCACGTAACACGAATCTCCGATCTGTATGTCGCGGAGATCGCGAACAATCTGCGCGATCAACTCCATTTCTTCGGTTTTGGCGCAGTTGGTGAGTTTACATGCGTGTTCCTGCGATCTTTCGTGCACGAGCTCCGACTGGCCATCGTTTGTTTCCTCGTCGACACGCTGTTCCCAGGATTTTCCTAATGACGGTTCGTCAGCGCGTATTATTCGCGATTAATATGGATAATTATACATTATTATGCTATTATCTGCGCGAGATACATATCGATCACGCAACTTATCGCACACAGGAGACTGCGTCGTCCTGGAACAACGCGCCTTTGTCGGTGAACAATATCGACGTGCATACGAAAACGTCACTATTCAGCGCGCCGTTGCATTTGCGAGACGCACTAATACTTGCACTTTACCGTTTTGTGTGTCGCGGTCTATGACGTTCAGAACTTCCACCATTATCTTGTCCACCAGTCCTCTCGCGAATGCCTCTGCCATGATTTCAGGCATCCTCTTCTCTTTCACGCGTGCGTTCTCTTTCACGGCAAACTGTTGCACGACAGTCATTCTTTTATTTCCATGAGCGTAGTAGTACACTCCGTCACTACACAATTACTATCGCGATACATGTTCGACATTTTTGGTTGATTGCTGAGATTGTACGTTGTTACATATAGTGGGTGGCAGTGGATGGACTTGAAATTTAGACCTGAATGTCTCACAAATTTCAAGCAAGGACTATTAGTACCGAGCCTTAATATCGCGAAGTCATCCGAGATGTAAAAGCGGAAAATGGCAAATTTCACGTCAACCTTATCATCAAATCTTACTTCCAACCTACACGCGTAATGTAGTTGCATGTAACTTTGAAGAATATACATAGCCTCGAAAAATACACCTCGCAACGTATAATCAAAATTTAATAAATCTGAATAGTGTAATAGTGCAATATATGCAGATAATGCAATCTAAGATGCACCGTCGTTTGCCGGTTGCTTTGATATATATAAATATGAAATAGTAATAAAATTACTTGTCAAATGTAGTTCTCCCAAAATAATGCGTCCTATAGCGATTCATCAAAAATACAGTTCGGAAGAGCGTATAAATGATGTCGAGCTGGATCTTCTGTTAGAAGTCAACATAAATGAGAATGCTTCCGTGTCATCGAGAAGATCCTCCAACCAATGTCGCGTGTCGTCAAACATGGATCACGACGATTTGTGGGAGGTAACGATCTTGCCATCGCTGTCGTCCCAAGCTACATCTTCGAATGACACCTTAGGAACTTCTGTGAGGGTTTTAAATACTATAACCGAGACTAAACGAGGCATGCATTCCTCGATTGACGGGCGTAAAGGAGAGAACGAGGCTGCAACGCACAAGAGCGCGGTAAGACCAAAAATTGCGATATCCTCTACATATGAAAAATTGAATCATGATCATTCACGTCTTTCCTTTACCCGGGATAAACGCTCGACCTCTGCGTCACGCGGAGACGAGAAAGAGTTTAATCGAGTGGACGAGAAACTGAGTAACAAACGTTTTGGAGTATGCAAGGACAACGAGTGGAGAGCACCCTTCATCGAACTAGGAGCGGTCTACAAAGTTCTCGACTTCATTACAGATTCCGATCCTAAGGTTTCCTCGCTGACTAATAGCTGCTGCAATGAGATTTCGAGAACACTGCGTTATCTGATAGCGCTGAGCAGTGACAAAAAATTAGACGATCTTCTCTCGAACGATCCTTCCTTGTACAGATGCGAACGTTGCGGAGTAATAAGTCACATGCTCGGCCCTGTTATCGAAGAAATTAAAAGAAGCAGGACCAGAGCCGTGCAGGATGCTGATATCGCGATAGTTGAGCGCGATTGCATCAACCGTCATCATCGAGATAAGAAAAAATCGCAGATTTCAACGAGCCACTCAAATTCAAGTCATAATGCGCAATCGAGAATGTTCGTTGATAATTGCGAAGTAGATCGCAGAGTTAAGCACGAAGGCAAATTAAATGAAAAATCATTGCCAGTTAAAGAACGCTCGTTCGTAATGAGACGTCGTATCGAGAGCCCAAATGGCGCCAATGATATTTCCGCCACGGAAACTGACGCTAACGCCAAGATCAAAAATACATCTCTTAATAACAGCGCCATTAAGAGACTGTTTGCAGACTACGAAGCGGCAAGACGGAATACTGGATACGACTCTAATTGTGCTACACGAAACGATCGTTTCTGTCATGTCAAACCCTCGACCACGTCGAAAATCCGCGCCAATATCGACAAGGAGATAGTCGTGAGGAAAATTTCGTACGAAAATAAATCGCAATTTACGATGGAAGGCTTGCGTTCTAGAGGCACGCGAAAGAGTCAAGGTCAGCGGCGACTTTTCGAGAAGGATGATGATGTTCTTTCAGTTGGTAATACCGTGAAATATTTGGCAGGCGGTCAACTTACCGTTTTAGACAAGGGAGAGAACGATCTTCTCTCGAAATTGCAAGACAGATGCCGTATTTGTTTAGAGGAGCCGAGGAAGGGACAGAGTTCCGTTTTGTATGGCAGTCGGGACGATTATTACCCGCGATGCGATCCAGGCTTCTGGTTATTCGACAAATCGGGACATTTGCCGGAAGTGCCTTTGGATGAATACCATTTTTTACCGATGCCGAGGCTGGACGACAGTAGCGACGGCTTTCGTGCGCGCAATATGGGAAAGAGTCCGAGGAAGACGGGCAGTTGGACTGAATGCGTGGAAAAGGATTCTCTCGAAAATTGCACTCTGTTAGAGCGAAGGCAGGACAGTGATACTACGACTTTCAGTTCGTCTTCTGCTGAGAATTTAATGTACGAATGGATAGGAGCTTTGGACGAAAAAGACAATACGAATGACACATACAGCGATGTGCCGCGAGGTCGTCCATTAGTTTCGTCACGACCTTCCCTTGACATCGCTCGACATGTCAAAGCCAAAATTGCAGAGGCCAGACGTCCCAATGACACGGGAGAGTCGATGGGCGAAGCACAATCACATAATTCGGACGTCCTTGCTCGATTATCTTCGGAAACACGAAACAAGATGTGTCATTCGATCAGAAAGATGATACTATCGGACGCTAAGAACTCTGTGTTTTGTCATGAGAAGGATTTAGCGACTTGCATTGACGCGACAAACAGCGAAAAATTGGCTCCTAAATCCAGTAACGTCACATTCGTTCATTCTGATAAATCGTTCGTAAGTAAAGTAAATAACGAAATAACGAGTACTTGGTTAGATGATTGTATTCCAAGTAAATTGTCCGAATTACGGGAAGATCAGAGTTTCTTAATCGAAAGGCGAGCTAATGTCGTAGAAGTGTGCAGTCCAAGCATGGACAAGTCGAAGGATCACGTCCAGATATCGCACGAATATTCCACCGCTGTCGTTCCTGCTGATGAGCTCAGGAAAACTCAAGAGAAATTCGCGGGCGATTCCTACGGAAGAGTCTCACGACGTATTGTTTACAAGAACCTGTCATCTGAAAACGTTGACAATGACGACGGACAAATCGTGACTGAAATTTCACCGGTTTATCGCGAGATTCTGCAGAATAGCGAGGATATGGACTGGGACGGTTTTCGGGAGTTGATCGAACGCCTTCATCCTGGTCAAAAGGAATTGTGGCGTGACATATGTAAGACGGTGGACGAAGAGGCAGCAAGACTGTCCGGCGATGCGAACGGTAGCATGGAAGTTTGTATAGAGATCAGCCCGGTAATCCTCGGAGAATACCTGAAGACGGACAAACCGATGGCGTGTGCTCGCGAAATCGCGTTTGAGCTGGATATGACGATGAAGGACGTCGAGAGTTTCCTCGACAAAAGGCCGCATCTGGCTGAAGAGCGTCTTGACACACATAAGGCTACTGACGAGAATGTTACGGATTGGAATGACAGTGGGAGAAAACCGATTTCCGAACAAACTCGCTAATTCATCGCAAGTCCTGATCGTATCTTGGTTTGTATCTTTTGTGTTGGCTTTGCCTAATTATTTTTGTCTATTACTCTTTAAAGTACGAAAAAATTGATTGAATTAACCAATGTCTGATGAAATATGAACGAATCAGAAGTTCCAATTGAAGTTACTAGAATTCTGCTCAAGTTAACAAAATTTTTGATTAACAAGAAATCTTGTTAACTTGAACAGAATTCTAATAACTTCACAAATATTTTGTTAATCCAACATTTTTTTTTCTTCAATTCTTTTTCCGTATACAATCAGTATTCTTTACCGAAATTCTATGTTTATAAGTGCACGGAGATAACACTAAGGATATCACTAGGTCAAATATAATTGTTGTTACAAACCGTAACATTTATGTTATTTTTTATTCATGCATACCAAAGGATTGTAGCAAGCATAGTACTCTGAAAATGATATACTGACTTTCTTTGCTGCTTGTCCATATGCATTTGAATGGATTTCTCAGTATTATATAGCACAATCAAATTCTACGGATCTTCCAACTACGGTATTTGTTCTGCAAATTACAACAGAGTAACAGTAATATTCTTTCGGTTGAAGCAACTATATATGGAGTTAAAGCTCTTATTCTTTTTTAAAATTGCCTCTAAATATGATTGAAAGCCAAGCAATATCTATTTAACTTAAATTCAGATGCATCTTTTTTCTAACCGTAGAAAATGTGTAGTTGTAGCAACCATAATAGTTTCCTCCATGTGGTGTTTCAATTATAAATATAGTACTGCAATTGATAAAATCTCTGAAAGATTAACAGCAACATTGTTTTAATTATCGATGCACTTTGTAAACGCAGACAGTGTCATTGAACACAGTGTCATTTCAAGGCGCATAAAAGCCGTTAATTCCATCGTCACAAAAGCCGAAAGTTTGGTATTTGGTACGGCGTGTGACGAATTTTACAGATCTTGCAGTGAAATCTTACTTTCACTGCTTAAAATTAAACAAATATAAGTCAAAGCAATCAAGTGCGAGTGTCTCCACTGAGAAACCAGTGAATATTCACAAATTATCGGGCGAAATGCTTCTTTTACTGACCCGGTCAGGAACGTCTTCGCTGACCCGCCTCAAGAGAGTGTTCTATTCTCTTTACGGTGCACTATCAGCACCGATATTCTGCATGGTCGTCGTGTCTTTACGCCGTGAAAGCTGCGTTGCCTCGCTCCCGTTAACAGGAAGTGCCCCGTCAGTCGTATCGATCATCCATAATTCGTAATTCCGACGGTACACACCCTGCTCTAAAGAGGGAGACGCAAATTGCGCTTTCTTCCTGAGTCATTGCTCCGCGGAAGATGGCCTCGCCCATCGTCGCGTCAGGCTCGTACAAACGAGCCAGTCGGCTAGGTGGGTAAATGTAGGTTGGTAGGGACGCGACGGAGGGGTAGGGTGGCTCGCCTCATAGGGGTGGTCCAGCGGCAGATTCCTGGACTGATCGATGAAACGACCGGCGCATTGGATTTCCCGAGTCGCACGCGCACTCACCGTCCTTCCCGCAGACGAGGGCGCGTAAAACGCGTCCTGCCTGCGTCTCGCTTCAGTTACACGCGATCCCGGCGCCGGGGTGCATACAACACCTTCGCGTCGCGCAGAGCACCTGCGGGGGATGATGGAAGTGTGTTACTAGGCCGAGTGGCACGTGATACTCTCTCTTCGCCCGGCGCCGCTACTCTGCGACGTCATGCCCGGCGTTTCCCAGCGGCTGCGTCCAACACGCGGCGCCTAGGACACCTTAGACGTGAATAACGTTGCGCAATGACTCGTCCTTTCGCGATGAGAAGTACACATCGGCTCGCGGCAGCCGGGGAAACTTGTGAATCCCGCTGCGGTGGTCGGAACGCGGATTAAGATTCCCAAGATTTACAATCCCGATCGGCGATTTTTACGAGCGTACGCAGCCCTGACGTTGCTTTACGGATCGGGGATTAATTCGACGGATGATGGAGTGCTGTTAATTTCACCGAAGGTGGTGTGTGCAACGACGCGGGCGTACAGCAGTTGAAGGCGATAGGATCTATTTTGCGAGGTGAGGCACGTGGCAACGACTTTGCCACTACTGATCGGAATAATCGCTTTGGATTAATTGAAATGCTCGATCTCGTTGACACGCGATCTCAAAACATTCCAGTGATTCCTGGAGCAATCATGGATAAACGACGGTCCTTGGACGGAGGAGTGCAGGAGCATCCTTTACCTATTCCGGTTCAGATGTTTCTTTGGCGGCAACTAAGGTCAGTTGGCTAACACAAACTAACACAAATATTAACAGATCAGTTGACAAAATGTTCCTTAATATTTTCGAGGAAAAGAAAATAACAAATCAGTCAAATAAACAATTTAGGAGCAAGAAAGAGCCAGCGCTGTTGTTGGAACGTGTGTTTAACATAAAAAAAGAAAACAATATTTTTTTTACATTTATTAAACGTTTCGGTCTTATCGTTTAGATCGTCTCCAACAACAAGTCAGTGTCAATTTTGATCTAAAAATAATTGTTCATTTCGTTGTTTTTCAGACCATTTATTCGAGCTAAACTGGGGAAAGTTCACGAAGCCTCTTGCACGGTAATGACAACTGATCCAACAATTATTCCAAGTGTCTTTTATTATAGATTAAGAGAGGAAAAACAGGGGAAATGATCTTTCTTATTAGAGACATTTAATAGAAGGCTGATTAGCCTAATTAGAGAAATTTAAATTGAAATTTGATTTATAAAACATAAAACGCCTGGCTGCAGTCAATACTTTGGAAAAAAATTAGAATTTTGTCGAAATGCAATCGTCAGTCGGAGTAAAATACAAACGCTGTCTTATATCTGATACCAGATTAGCCGCGTGTTTTTAATATTACCTGTCCTGGGACATTGATTCAATCGATTGAATTCAAAATCTCGAATATAAGCTTCTATCTTACGCAAGAACGTTTCTTCATCGCTGTTACCGCTTTCGTGGTTGTCTTTATCAAAGTTGTGTTTCTTGTTCAGAACCTGCTTCAATGTTTACCAATGTTAACTCATTCTACTTCGTGACTCTAATATGTCTTGAATGACGATGTCTTATAAAGATAGTTAAATATATAAACATCCTACTGATCGTGTATCTTCTTTTTTAAGTACAGTAATAGTACATCTCTATTCGATTTGAAGCGAAAACACATGTCTCGGGATTTGATGTAATACGTATAATCGAGTGTCTCGCGTTACCCTATTGTTATCCACTACCTGCTTGACCTGCATTAACAAAATGACCTCTTCACGCGGCCGCCCCCACATGTCGCCTACAGTTCTGTCAACATGCGCCAGGCCATCATGTAAGTTGGCTCGTCCGATTAACACCTGCCTGCGAGCTTGCACGCAAGCCTACCTTCGTGTTCTGTATGTCGTGTTGCTCCGGTTGTTGCGGTTTTATTATATTCGGCGGGGTGAAATGCATGATGAAATATTTATACAGACGGTAATGTAGCCTATCGACTTTTAGAAACAACGCTGCTCGTGTTCTTCAGGCAACGATATTACTTTTATCGGTATTCACAATCACCATGAACGCCTTTGCTTTTAATAATGTTTGTACTATCATGTATTATCTACATTATATTGTTGTTTGCGAAATATTAAATTTGTGCATGGAGAAAATATTACAGTAAAAATTACAAAAAAATTTTTTATAACTTTGGACCATACAGAAATTATGACTAACGTTACTATATATTTTTATAAAAATATTATGTACGTTTGATTTTCTATTGCAAAATTATTGCAACTACTTGAATGTTTTATTGCACAATATGAGATAACTAAATTTTATTACAGTAAAGAAAAAATTTTGATCTAAGAAAAAATATTTTTTCCAGAACATTTTTAAGTGAAATTACAATGCAATATAGATAAATGCAGATTTAACTATGTGATATTAATATTTCACACTTTTGCTTTTACTATTGGTTACGTAATTCATTATTTATCGAGTTCATTATATTATATGTACGTACATATATTTCACTTAGCTTTGTCTGTAGCCATTTACAAGGATTTATTGTTGATTTGCTGTGAAAATAACTTTTGACTTTTTAATATTATTCTTGAAACGCTTACACAGGAAATGAAGGAAGCGTGTACGGTCAGTATATATGTTTTCTAAAAATAAACAAGCAACTATATGTTTTTATAAAACTTAATAAACTAAAATACTATATTGTTTTTAAAATTTCCGTTTGTAGCATTTTTTTATTATAGGCATAGATATGGTATTTTAATTTTGTTAGGTTACAGATTGATATTACTTTTAACAATTAATCAAATTAATAATATACGCGACTTAACAAGAAATAATACAAATTACAATAATAAATAAGGACGTAAAGAGTCAAAGTTGCCGGTGACTTAAACTAAAGAGGACCACATCAAATGGTCGAAACGTATTTCATGTGAATTAAATAAATTTTTTCTGTGGCTCATAACATCGGCAACTTTGGTTCTTATTTATTATTGTAATTAATATTACTTTTGTTTCAAGATCGATATATTCTAAATTAATTATTTCGATTAAGTTGCAATCGATATTATTGATGACACCAACAAGTGACTTCCTTTGAAAGATTTCTTTTTTTCTTTTATAGTGTCTGGAAAAGGTCTTAGTGCAGAACCTTCACAACGATCTTACGCCCTCTCTGAGCGAGATTTTGAGCAATGTACCACGTTGGCGTCTGATACAAGCCGCTCTTCCCTACGTCCTTCATGCTGCGTCCAGTGTCCTGCACAATAAGTGAGCTACATTAAATCCCTGCAATATATTAGTTTACTTTCTCCAATCTTTACGCGAGTATCACCGGTGTTAATCTTTCAGGAAGGATTTTCAGAGCCTCGGTGCGATGGAAACGACTCTTCTTTATATTCTTCACTGGATACTCCTGGATTCGGCCGAGGAATGCGCCGAGAACGACGTGGACCCGGCAAACCCCTTTCACTACTTATTTCCGATACCCACCTTGACTGTAAGTTATTTCACTTCTTCGCATCTAATAGAATAGAAATACTTAAGATAATGGTTCCCTTCGCTATTTCAGCTCTTCGTCTACCTGTTTGCGCCTTTGTGCAATCACTTGAAAGACATCGACTTCAGGTCGAACTTACGGTTGGAGAACGGCTTGAAGATATGGTCCGCTATGTACGAATGCCGACATCCGGAGGCGTCTTGCTTTACCACGCATTGTCGCGCCAAGCCGCGTCTTTATTGGAGCCGGTCTTTCAAGTCAGCGTATAAGCATCATATACTGTCGGATGATGTTTTCGTTGGAGGAAGTGAGTGTAATTTGATTTACACGGTTTCAATTCAAAGCAATTTTCGATTTCTTCCATTCTTATTTTAAAAATTCAGATTTTTCGAAACTTCTCGTGTCATTTCTTTGACATAATCTCTTTTCGAAATTGCTCGAGATTTACGCGATCTCCTCCGAACAGTTTTAATTTAAAGCAATTTTCGATTTTTTACATACCTATTTATAACATCCAGATTCTCCGAAACTCAATGATCTTGTGACATTTTTTTGCGAAATCTCTTTGGAGAAGGATCATTCGCTCTTATCATTAAATCAAAGAGTAAATTTATAGTAATGCATACTTCTTAATTTTCTTACATCGTGTTTCTTTTTATAAAACGTTATATAGATGTCGAAAGTCCACCCAGCCAGTCGATCAGTGCGTATTCGGATCAGGCTGCTCCGCCATCTTCGAAAATAATCGATGATGATGTAAGTTTACAGTTAAATATAACAAAATTTTTGCATTCTTATGAAATGAAGAGTAATTTTTCATATACGTTATTAGCAACAGAGTACTTGGTTGTCATCGCCGAAAGACACTGTATTCCCAGAAACGATACCCGAGGAGAGCTCCGGCGCCGAGGACGAGCATGTGGTAAGTTTATGATTGCGGCGAATATCAATCGCTAATCTCACCCGACGCATTTTACATTTCACCAGGTAATATTCAGATTACCCTCCTTAAGCGAGTCGGAGAAAATGATTGACGGGGTAAAAAAAGTTTCCACTATATTCGCAGTGAGTTACATGAGGTAATATCTCGCGATTGATCACGGAGCAAATAATATTTTTGTGGCTATCGCAGGCTGAGGCTAGCATCTTCCACGTCGCGATGGGCAGGACTACCAGCTCCTCGAAATCCACGGTGATGATAGAGCAGGTCACGGCGATCTCCGGGTTTGACACGTGCAAGCAGTACCACGGCAAAACTATGAAAACCGGGTTGGCTACATGTTTCGCCATCTTATGCCATATATTCTTTATATTCTTTATATTAAATGTTACGGCGTTTGTTAGTTGTCCAGTTAGAGCTAGATTACACCTGAAATGCCTTACACGGAGAGAATTTTACAGTAACAATTACTGTAGGACTTTGTAATCGAGAAATAAATTGACATTCTGCAATAATTCACTATCCTTTCATTTCATATGTGCTATTTGTACTTTAAGAGCTGAAATGTTCAAACACTTGCTGTTCAAACACTTGCTATGTTTCTAGCGAAATTTACCGTCCCTCAGCAAGATAGACCTTACTAACAATCTTAAACTAACAAAAAGCATAGTAAAATTGAAACGATTTCATGTCAAAAAAGAAAACTATAATATTCTCTCTGTGTAACGTAACGAAGGTAGTTTTTTATAACTCTGTTTTACTATATTTAGAGAATAGAACACGAGTTTACGTGATTTATTGAAGTGTAGAAAGATAATGATATTTTTGATTAGAAGTATGGATAAAGAGAAGGATGATAAAACATCCAAGGCGGAAAAAGAAGCACAGGAGGCTCCGAAGGCACGTGGAAGTTTCTCAACCCAACGTCAAAGCGCACCTAGTGACGCAATCACGACAGAGCAAACCACGGGTTCTTCGACTGTCGATTTGGACGTTCGTGCCGCAACCTTCCTGGATGTAGCCACTCTGAGATGCCTGTTCGTGTCCCAATGGCAGGAAGAAGGTGTCTTCTGGGCTCTTCAGTTTCTATACTATCGGTCAGTTATTTTAAATGATCGGAGGTAACAGCGTATCGTAATAGGAAGTAACGCAATCGCAGTTTATGCAAATATTATAAGGTATCTTTCTTATTTATTGATTTTTTCGTCAGATTTTGTTGTATTGAAACAACTTTTTGATATTTGGAAACGGTTTCCCGAGAAGAAGGTGCCTTTCTTATTCATTGATTTTTTCGTCAAATTTTGTTGTATTGAAACAACTTTTTGATATTTGGAAACGGTTTCCCGAGAAGAAGGTGCCTTTCTTATTCATTGATTTTTTCGTCAAATTTTGTTGTATTGAAACAACTTTTTGATATTTGGAAACGGTTTCCCGAGAAGATCAAGTTGTAGTCTGCATTTGGATTAATTAGTCGTGTCGTTAAAATACACACTGCAGGCTACGAAGAATCAACGAAGAAAGCTCCGTGCAACAAATGCCACGCCGTCGCAGTAACTCCTTGCCTATACCGAAAATCGAGGTCTCCATTTACCAGAGTCCCGAAAGTAAGAAAAAAGATGTGCTGAAGGACTTCATAGAGATTCCCGAAACGCGTGACGTCTCAGTGGTGGCGGGTACGCACTCATACCCGATATTTACTGTCTAGCAACTCTCTCTCTTCTTCTGTGTAAATTTGAACACATTTTCAAAATCACCATACATTACATTTAAAGGTCAAGACGTTGAATCTAGTCATACAAGACGCGCCAGCGAGAAAACGAAGAAACGTATGAAGATGGCCGACCTCAAGGCTTTCGTGGAGACGAAGCTGCTCTCGAAGTCGGAGAAGGCACTTGAGAAGATTGGCCAGGATGAACCTAAGATGTTGTTCGAGCAGGTAAATGATCAGATAACTTGACTGCTTGGTTAAAATAACAACTGAAAAAAAATACTTGAGAATTTATTTGCAGGATATAAAGTTTATTTCTGTGAAATAAAATTTATTTTTGTAAATAAACTGTATATCTCACAAATAAAGTTTCAAGTATTTTTTTCTCGGTGTAGTTGACAGAATATTCTTATTTTATAACGAAATTGCAACGTTAGTTTGTAATTTATAATATAATTTAAAATCTTTAAAATCTTTACGTAAAAACTGACAAATATTTTCAAGTAAGTTGCAAATTATATATTAGACGAAATATCAATTGGCGTGCTTGTTAATTTATATTAATCAGATTTATTAGTTACTTAAATTTTTATAATAACGAGTCACTTACAATTTCATCCTTTTAGTAATTGTATTACAAAGAAAAATAAGTTGTCATATAACATTATAAATTTATTTAAATTATCCAATTTCAGGAGTGTCATAGAAGTCTCGATACTGGGGACGACCATCTGACGCAACAAACTTCGACGTGCTCGAAAACCTTCGAAGCGAAGGATGTCGATTACATGAAGCATCCTACAAATCTGATCAAAGGGAAAAGTATGCCAAGCTTAAGGTAGGCGCTGTTGAATTAGCGCGAAAGAAAGCTGTAGCAACTTCTACCTCGTACAATTTTTTTTCTCTCTTTGAATTGCGATCTGTCTCGTTCGCACGTAAAATCGCGCCTTTCTTCACGGTGATTTATCTTTACTTTAAAGTTACCTCCTCGTAACTTACATCGCTATTTTACTTCGCCGCAAGCGAGAATACCCGTATAGTTTCGCTTGACCTCGACTGTCGGCAAGCTCGGAAGTACGGAGCGTATTTATTCGCGAACGCTTCTACGTAGGCTAGTCTAAGAAGTTATACAATAATACGCATCTCTATTTCTTCAACTAATAACAACTATAGCGACGAGGGACGTAGTTGTGCTTAGGCTGTATGCAATAAGAGACGAGCGTTTCATTAGAGCAAGAAGTTTCCTTACCGACATAGACGAGAATCAATGTTGGGTAGCGCAATTAGAATAACTTATATATCTTGATTGTAATGACATTGTAATGATTTGACACGGAAAAGAAAAGTTTAGCTGAATTATCCAAATTTCCGGTAAAATATGAACAAACAGAAATTCCGGTTACCAGGATTCCGGCCAAGTTAACGAGATTTCCGATTGACTTGAACAGAATCCCAGTAATTTCAATCGAAATTTTCTGGTACATTTCACCAGAAATTTGTTTAATCCAGCATTTCTTATATGTAGATATTACACAACAAATGCGTTTTCAGTCACGACAGCAATTACATCTCAAATTCGCCGCACAAAACTTCAAAATCGCATTGGATTGGTGTCTATTAGAGTTAGAAAAGATGTCTCCTTTTTTTATTTTTCTTTTCTACAAACCGTGACTATCTCTTCACCCAACACTGATAATCTTGAACGATGTTTTCGACCATAAATTGGGTGGATAAGTTTTATTCTATAATTTGCAATATATTCCGAAAATTTCTAATACAACTTTCTCAAGATACGATACACACAAATGCAGTCCTATATCTCCTTATTGAGACAGCGATCTTCATTAACGTGACGTGTTATATTTTAATCGAAAAAGAATTTGTCACTTTGCGAAAATATATGGCCTAATATATGGTGCGAGAATGTGGCTCAACGCGTTTCCGACAATTAATCCAGCGCTTAAATATTGATAAGCCTATCGTAATACTTATGCGTAATGGTCTTTCTCTGTGTGTGTCTCTTTTCTCTCTCTCGTTCGCCCTTTCACCCCGAACTCGTACTCAGCTGCTTGATTAACGAGCTGACCGCGGGAGGGTAAGTCATCAACGTCACTCGGAGGAAATTCCGTACTGCAGCTCGGTTCACACGCTTCTTTTACGAGCTTCCTGCTTCCGGTAGGGCGCACATTTACCCCTTGAAATATACTGAAATCCAGTCGCATCGGCACGTCGGCAAAAATCGAAGGCACATCACTAACCCACTTCGTGTTTCGTACACAACAGTCAATTTCTACTATATTTTCTCTCTCTTTTCTTGACAACTCTCAGAAAAATGTAATCTTATCTTTAGCGAAATCCTTTTATATATGGCCTCAAAAGTATTCTTCTAAAATAAAGAAGGAAATATTCTAACGTTTTCGGTATAGGCAAGGAGTTACTGCAACGGCGTGGCATTTGTTGCACGGAGCTTTCTTCGTTGATTCTTCGTAGCCTGCAGTGTGTATTTTAACGACACGATTAATTAACCCAAATGCAGACTACAACTTGATTTTCTCGGGAAATTGTTTTCAAATATCAAAAAGTTGTTTCTAACCACAATATTCTTGAAATTGGAGAAATTTCGTCTTTCGTCTACACGTTCTCTACAAGTAAAACTTGTTCTCAATAAAAATCTCTGTTAACCATATTTCTGATAAGAAGACATTCTGCTTGAAGTAAATATATTCTTCTTGATTCAAAAGGAAAAAATTAAAATAATGCTTAATAGATTTTCGATTCACAGTTCATTTTATTAGAAAAGGAATATTCTTTCAGTAAAACTTTCTGCTTAGAATGTAGGATTATAAGAAATAGCATCTTGCAACTAAAGTCTTTCTTTTGAGTGTTGAAATATTTTCTTGTTAGTTTTAGAAGAAAGTTTTTTTTGAGACTCTATATATGAGAATTTTCGCTAAAAATAAAATTATATCTTTTTGAGTGAACCACTGTTGTTCCTGTTATGTATTAAACAACGTATAATTTGAGCCCTCTTTATTTTTTATTGTATATAAAATTATCCTGCAGTCAATATATTTAGCCGTATTTAACAACGACACTTTATATACAGATGTTAATTGTGATTCTTTAGTATTTGCGTTGTGTACCCCACCGTATCACAGTCAACGAGCAAAACCAAATTTGAAATTATAACTAATCGTTGTTCCCTAAATAATGCCACTTAACGACTTGCCGATTAAGATTCATCGAAATCAACGATTCTTCGCCTGACTTTCATCCTCAGTTATGTCTTTTTATGATACTTAAATCTATGTATTATACATAACGTTTGATTATATATATTATATCACGCACCATGTATAATTAAGATCCACGATTAAGATAAATACGTATTCTCTTGTGTTGCTTTTGTAGTCTATTGCTTTATATACCATCACGGTTTCTTTGAATATATAAATGAGAAAAAATTTTCGTACATTATAGAATCATCACCGTATTTTATATATTTATGCATGTTTTTTTACGATAAGTAAGAAGTCAAAGAAGACGTTGCCCTTTGGTAAAGTCGTGGTTCCATTAATTGCCGTTAATTGCCAATACCCTTGTAATCTTTGTGACACCGTTAAGATAGACTTATCCCTTGTTTCCCGACATATAAAAACGTCTATTTTATTTTCAACTTACTCAAACAAAGTAATATTTTTCAATTTTTAACACGCATCCGCAAGTATATAATGATATATAAAATGAAGAAACAAATAGTTATTTATGATAACATTCAAGGATACACCTTCGATGTAAACATTATCAAAATTATTATTTATTATTCGAATGAAAATATTTACACGAATACAAATTTCGATGTCCAATCAATTTTCCCACGATCAACTCGAACTTCTTCATCCGTTTAAAATTTCTTAAAAATATCTATCGTTTTTTTATTTAAAATTGTCCACGATTACACTGCAAGTACAAGTGTATTATTTTTAAACGTGTATAAGCGTATAATTTGCCCGAAGCTCTTTTTATACATTGTCTGCAATTTTAAATCATGTTATTCACACGTTTAAGATATGTAAATTATAATTTAATACTTTTAAACATATTACGTGACGTGATTTAGAATGGTGAGGAACGTGTAAAAAAGGATTCAGCCAAAATAACATACTTGGATTTGGAGTGTGTGTGTGTTAATTGTTAATTCGTTGAGAAACTCGTGATCGTCGATATATTGGGCAACGTTGATACGAAAAGTCGTTAAAAATCATCGAGCATGTGTCAACGGAATGACAGGCGCACGATCGTAGATCGAGATCATAGAGATGAGAACGTAGTGCTTGATTAGGGCTCACATTGGCAAGTGGCATGAGGACATTCGAGAAGACGTCCTGTCGAATTGGGCTTCTGATCTACGCTGCTTTGTAGGTATATCGGCGACACCCGCATCGAGAGGAAGCAGAGTCCGTTTTATAGCCAGTCCTGTACTGCGCAGAACCCTATCATCACCGTCACGGAACACACGCCAACTCCATCGCCCGATTACATGAAGCGCCAAGTAAGGGACACGCAATTCTCCGTGCGTTTGAATAGCTTCATCGCTTTAAATACACATTGTTCCTTCAGGGATCCATCGAGAGTCAATTGGACGCTATCAGTGCGCAAGGAGGTCGTCTGTGCTCCGAGAGGAAACCTAGTCTCACAAGATCACAGACGGACTCTAATATTACTTACATGAGCGACGAAGTGCCAGAAGCTCCGGGCTCCGCGTGTTACGTCACGAAGGAAGGTGACGTTGATCTTCAGGTTGTCCTAAAGGTGATTATCAATTGCAATCGTACTTCCCTAATTTGACACATACGTCGCTTTGATCATTCGTATTCTTCACTGTCTAGGCGATACACTCCGTCGCTTTGCGGGATAATGCCTGTTGTACGCCGCGAGTTTGCGAGATTATCCTGAACCTGGTGGAATTGTTGATGGACATGGGGGTCATGAAGCACTGTCTCCGGGAAGAAGCTACGGGCAGTAACGCAGGTAAATAAACTAGATTATTTACATTGTGTGTATATATGTGTGTGTGTGTGTGATTTTTTTTCATTTCAATTAATCTTATATTTTAAATGAAATACAATGTAATATTTTAGGATATTAAAACAAACACAGGGGGGCGCGCGCCTCTTAGCTAGTAATTCCACAAAGAAATGTTTAAAATGTATTTATATAAATCATCTGTAAATGTAAAATACATGTATACATGAGAGGAGTAACATCAATCTGTTAAAAAAAAAGATTTCCAAAACTTAGTTAAAATAGTACTAATTCAGTATCTTTTATAATAATTCATTACTTCTTGAATACCCATATTGATATGATAATAACATGGTAATGGTAACAATAAGCTTTCAATATATATATTTGGAACTTTTATATAATGCTGCGAAAGTTAGAAGTTGTTTTTTATCTGTTACTACTTAGTAATGACATTAACTTTTTTAAATATAACTGTAACAAATAATTTTAGGAAGGAAATAGTTCTTAAATATTTATTTTTAAGTAATTATTTTTGTTTCAACCTTTTTACTGTGGCATGTCAAACTAAATTGTTTATTGATCAGCTATTATTTGTGAAAAATGAAGAAAACGCCTACTTGACATACGTAATTAAGAGTCTATTTGATTTTTTGCACAGGGTCAGGTACAGGAATCGATAAATCAGAAACGGGAAAGAAACATGATTCGCCAACAGGATTGACTCAACAAGAATACAGGCACGATCCGAATGGAGGGAGCAAATCAAATGCTCACAGTCTTCTTATGCATTGCGTGATTAGAGTGTTGAAGCACTTAGGCTGTCCATACGGTTGCTTGGAAGGAGTACGTGGGCCTCAAGCCGATATCTGTCGCTCTCAGGGCCAAACAATCCTGACCAAACTGCATCGAGCGAGTTCCCGTCAATTCTCGAGGTTCTTAAAAACAATGATGAGAGAGCAACCGTTAGCAGAAATCTTAGACTTCTTTCACTCGTATGTCGGGTACTGCGTCGATCCGAGCTCGCTGTTATCGCCACTCAGTGAGTACATTAAAAATGAAATTCTAATTAATCGTAGATATTTTATCATTTATTGAAGACTCACGTTCCGTAACATTAATTCAGGGATAATCGTAATATTAAGATAAAGCGGGAATTTTTTTATTTATAGTAGTATATATATATATATATATATATATATATATATATATATATATATATATATAAAAAAAGCTTCTTTTTAATTCTTTTAAATTTCTCTCTTTTCTATATTAATCTTTCATCGACCTTCCTCGATTTTCCTGCAGATCAGAAACGAGTGTCCAGCAAGTCTCCGGACGTGGCCTCCCAAAGTGGATACGCGACGAATTTCGGTGCCGGCATGATGGGTTCTGGAGCCAGTGGGGCAGTTGGGGGTACCTCAGGTGGAACTGGCGGGGGCACCGGTGCGACGGCGAGCGGCGTCGCGACGTCCTACAACGCCGGCGGTTATGGGGCGCGCGGTATCGAAGGGCAAATCATAGCATGCGTCTTCAAGGTGCTGGTCACCCGCCTGGTCGATTCCGCGAAGCAACTGAAGGCACAGGAGAACATTAACTTGTATTGCGACGTGCGACAGTTGATGACGTACGTCAAGGAGGCGCACGGCGGCATTTTCCGACGCGTCAGCCTCAGCGGCATCTTGGATTCCGCGGATCGACCGAATAAACGTTGCAACAGCAACGTGCAAACGACGCGTGTCATAAGGTTCGTAGATGAATTGAGAAGCGTGAACACGCTTGGCGCGTCAAAATAAATTTTTAACTAATTTGCTTGGGATCAGAGAAGTAATTTCTCAGATAGAGATATATTTCGGCATATTTTGTCTGCTTACGTGATTAGCATAAGTGCGCAAAGTGCATTCTTTGTATATTTAGTATCTTTGTCTATTTGTCTTTATTCGTAATTTATAAAATAGCGAATATTATTAACGTATTGCATACATTTTTATATGACGATTCATTCCATCATAGGCATATACATCAGTCGGATTTAGAGGAACACGCGGATATCGGGGGAGATACATGTTATACCGTTGACGATAGGGGCACACGGAAATTCCTCTTTAAAAAGAGGAGCACGTCGTCCACTTGCGCTGTAAATATAACGACTATGATTCTAGCAATTATACAATCGTTGTTTTACATAATTCCGTATCAGCATTAAAATCGAGTCGGGTAGGCCGGGTCGAATTTGCAGAGCCTTCTCGAGACGCAGCTGAGCGAGGAGAAGATTAGTCAAAGCCCGTTGGGCAATTTGCGTAAGAAGCATCATGTGTTGACACCCAGGCAGAGCGAGCGCAATCTCGGTGTTGGCGAGCCTTCCCTGGGTCCCGGAAAAATGCGGAAGTCGACGCGATTTCAGATCGGCGGTATCGGTGAGCGTCGTGAATTGCACGTATCATTAACCGCGTACTGTGAACCATTATAACGAATCGTTCTGATCGGTTTTAGTTAATTGGTTCCGGAAGGAGTACAGTCGAACCGATTCTACCGATAGCCATGAAAGTAGCGAGTCACCCACAGACGGTAGCTTTGTTAGGCAACCCAGCTTCCATTACGGTCCCCATCGCAGCACATCGCGAACGGGACGTGGGTAAGATATTGGATACAAAGCGCTCACTCGGCATTACGTCTGAGACATTTATTTTACTAATAAGAAGATTATTTCACCATGAGAAAATGATTCCATTATAAAAGTATTGATTTATTGTAAGAAAACTATTGTGTTTTTTCTCGAGAAATAATGGTGAACTATACTGAGACGTGCGTGAATTTCCTCCAGGGTTGGCTTAACTCTGCAGAAGGCGAAACGTCGGATGGAGGATCAGCTGAATAAGATCGGATTCGGAAAAAGCAAGAAGAAAGAAAGCTTGGAGGAAGCGCCTGGAAACTGTAAGATTGGATTAATATTTTCGTCATATATATAAATTAATCGTTACATCGCTCGTTTTATAGTATATAATATGTTTTATACAGTAATATTCAGGGTTGGGAAAGTTACTTTTTAAAAGTAACTCGTTACAGTTACAGTTACTCAAAAAGTAACGAGTCGTTATTTTTAAGTTACTTTTTTTAAATGATTGTAAATTAGTATTGTAAATACAAAAATCTTACATTTTAAGTTTTACTAAAATGTAACAATTGAATTTTATAATTAATATCTATCACATTAATTAGTCTATCCATTTAACAAATTTCAAATATGTACTTAATATAATAAAAATTTAATGATAGTCTTGTAGAGAGATAAAAAATTTAATCACATACTTTATAAATACGTTAATAAATTTATTAAATTAATATACGATTATCATATAATTTTAATTTTACTTTACGTTCCTCAAGTAACTATTAAAGTAACTGTTAAAAAAGTTACAAGTTAATAAAAATAAGTAACTAAGTTAAGTTACAGTTACAGGTGGAAAAAAGTAACTAAGTTAAGTTACAGTTACTGAAAAAATGTAACTGTAATTGTAACTTCGTTACAAGTAACGAGTTACTTTCCAACCCTTGTAATATTATAGTTAATAGTTCTAGACTTTTCCTTTTTCACACGTATGCTTCAACGAGCATCCTCCAAATGAAATAATGTCCATTCAGCATGACGATATAAATGTATGCATTTATTACTTCTAACTAGATTTCAGTCGGAGAAACTCCACGGAGCTCGGCGAGGCCTGCAGAGAATCCGAGTTTGTTGTCCTGAAGGAAAGAAGGTTAATACCTCGCAACGCGGTGTTCGAAGGAATGTTGCGGTTCTCTTTCCTGCTGGAGACCTGCCAACCCGGCTCCGTTCCCGATCCTCACCTAATGGCGTCGCTCTTAGATCTTGTAATGACTAGTCCGATATTTCGGCAGATTACTCTATACTTTCGCATAGCGCGACAGAATTTGGCATTAACAGAATTGTGCGATTGCAGCCATATGCGCCAGTGGTATCTCGCGCTTGTCTGATACTGGAATGCGCGCACTTGGTGCATCAATGTAACAAAGGCCACTGGCCGGCGTGGATGAAGCACAACTTTCCCATGTTTCGGCCGTCGATGCCTATAAACAATCGAAACGCCCCGAGCGCACTTAGGCGCATTCACGTGCTGCAACGCACCGCGGGCAAGCTGTTTTATCAGTGGGCGGAGGTAATTTCACTTGTTACGCGACGGTACATTTTTTAACATTCGACAGGAAATTTTGAGAAATATTACATATGAAGTTGTGATCGAAATAGGCTATAGGTACGCGATTAGAAGAGTTCTTAGCTGAGGATAAGCAAAATATGGAGCAGGTCACGAGTATAGTGTCCGACGAGGGTAAACAGAGAGACTTGGTTCTGGAGGACGAAGAGGAAGATTTTCTGGACGATGGTAAAACTCCCACGTCAGTATGTTGGGTCAGTCGAAAAGCTCAGTTCGATTTTCTACTTTCTTCAACAGAAAATCGACTATGTTTTACAACAAATACTTCAATTGAATTCAATCAATTCAGTTGAAATCAATTGATTAAACGGTCTCCAAATTATTGGCTCATATTATTCGTCAATTAAACAGAATTATTAATTAAACAAGTAATTAATTACTCGCAACCCTATTTCGTTTGAACGCAATAAAACAAATTTATCTAAAAAATCGAACCGAATTTTCTGATTGAGTCAATATCGGAGGAGATCCCAGTATCATGAATGGAGTTGAATGAGAATTGCAATTCGAATATTAAGAAGTGATAACTTGCAGCTAGTATAAATAGTTACGGATCTCAGTGCCCTTTCGCGTTGCGACTCGTTGCCTGCGTTTTGCTGTTGGAAGTGACGGCGTTTCTGAGGGAGACTTATCAAACTTTGCCGAAATCGAGCAAATTGCTGACGAAGGAACGTCCGCCGCCATGGGAAAGAATGTCGCTACACTACAGTCGAGAAGCGAATCGACGGTGGAGCTTGGCTTTGTCGTCTATGGGTCATTCGCAGACGTCCGCGCAGAGTCTACAGTCTATAGTCGGCGATCGCGAAGCCGGTTAGTACGAGAAAATGCACACGCTTATGCGCAAAGCTCGTAACCGTATTAACGGAGAACCCAATGCAAACTATTTCCGTGTACGTTGACCCGAATGAAATCGCATTCCGCTTTCGAGTTGATTGTGTCATAATGTGTGGATAAAAGGATAAATTAATTCCACAGCGGATCGTAAAATCAGTTTTGTCGTTTTTGAACCTGATTACGAATCAGAGGGGAGCAGTAAATCGACGGTTACGATACAAGGGGAGGAGACTCAGAACATCGAGAAAGAGAAGGCGAAGCGAGTGCAGGCGCCTCAAGGCAGACCGTTCCTCCTCCGTCGCAGTACCGCTGGAACTGGCTCGTTTAAAAAGAGGAGTCTTAAACTTCGTCGCAATACCAAGGAGGGCAAGGACATAGAAAGCGAGGCGTGTAAGCGAGAGAGCTGTGTAAATCACAGTGAATAATTATCATTTTTAATGTTGTGGCTCGTGAATTTATTGGTGTTACGGATCTTACTTATAGCTGTTTATCATTGTTAGTTGTTAATCGCAATGAAGGTATTATTATTATTATGTATTCTTAACATCGCTAACGTGCATAGCAATGTAAATGAATAGCACGCTTTCGTCCACAGTCGCGGTAAAACGCGCGGATTCAATTCAGTCCAAGAGAAAAGTAAGCTCGCTCTCTGACAGAAGCGACACGTCCGAACCTGGTTACGGTGGTGAGGTTAGCGGCGAGGAGTCGCCCGGTATTCTCAGCGACGACCAGCCACCGGAGAGTCCGAGTGACAGCAACGAGACTGACGAGACCAACAAGAATTTCCCATGGATGAAGGTTCTGGTGCAGCTCGTCAACTCCTTCAATTTTTACTGTTCCCATCAGAATTTCTGCCATCCCTTCTGTCATCGGCGACAGATGCGCGCTAGTAGCAGATTAGTCAAGTCCGTAAGGAAGATCTATGGCGAGAAGTTTGGTGTATTAAACGGCACGGGACTGTTGGACGTTGACACTGATAAGAAGGAGGATGGTAAAAAAGACAAACGTAGCCGCAAAGTGTCCGACCAAACCAGCACGCAGGTTTCGCCTGTCAGGCGGAAAGATAGCGTGGGACGCAAATACAAGTAATTCGGAATTTTATTTATATGCATATTCGATTGGAGTATTTCATAGTCGAAAATAAGAATTCCTCTATTAATAAATAAATTAATATACGATTAATACTATTCGGAGATGTATAAATGCCTGGTTTACAATGATATCGCTAATAAGGTAGTCGATTGAGTTGGTGTTATTAAGATGCTTAAATGTTTTCATAGAGTTGTATCGTTGCAACCAAAAAATTCTGATCCTATAAAGAGCTTATAAAGAGCTTTTAAGTTATATCCAATATGCTAGTTTAACATTTGTATGCAGGATAGAGAAAAATATGGATGGCTCTGGTCGATTAACTCAAAGAGATTCATCAAAGGATCTCGCGGAACAGGACTCTGAGAGAGGCAAGGAATTCTCGAGGAAAAGCGCAGCAAAGCACGATGTCGAAGAGGATAAAGAGCCGCCGCCGATCCTGAAGTACATAAAGACTCAAGTGAAAGACGCCTTTCACGTACCTCTGGCTACTTTGATCAAGGGGGCGGTTGTCATGACGGAAGATTTGTTTGTGGATGTTTTGCCGGCCGCATGGGAGCTTTTATTGGAGTCCAACCAGGAAGTCGCCGCGTCAGCCGCGGCACTCTTCATCGTGTCGGCTGTGCGAGCGCCGAACCAGGCCAGCGAATTGATGCACAAGGGCCTTCAGCACACCAGCACCAGCGTCCGCATCAATGCCATTCTGCGGTTTCAAGTCCTGTGGAAATTGCGATACCAGGTGTGGCCACGAATGGAGGAAGCAGCTCATCTGACGTTCAAAGTGCCTCCGCCGGGGATAGAGTTCACATTGCCGTCGCCGAAAATTGGAATAGAATCCTTGCCGGTGGTCGATCCACCCTGGATGCCGCAAGTGAAGACCAAGGTGGAAGAGGTCACTATCAATCAGGAACGTCATGTAAGTCAATCGTGTCGGCTTCGTCATTTATGATTCTATTCAGTGTATTATATTGAGTGTAATAAGTAATTTTTGCTTACTTCGTGTCGTTTGCGCCTGTCAAATTACCAGGCAAATAGCTGTCATTGCGTTGGTTAGGTCATGAAAAAAAATACAGAAGAGATATGTTTCTTTTTGTCTCTCCCTGTCTCTCCCTGTCTCTCCCTGTCTCTCCTTGTCTCTCCCTGTTTCTTCTTGTCTCTCCTTGTCTCTCCCTGTCTCTCCCTGTCTCTCCTTGTCTCTCCCTGTTTCTCCCCAAAAATTATATTTTTGTGTCGTTATAATTTTATGAAACAAAAGATATGTTTCGATCTAATCTCCTGTCATACACACACACTTGGTATACATTATTCTTATA